TCGAGGCGAAATTTATTGTATCTGCAGTTGAGGACGACGACGACATGTCTGAAAACAGAAACTGATGCAGCTTGCTTTTCTTCTAATCGTTTTTAATATGACAGTGACAGAAAAAGCCGTATTGCGTCTGAGAAAAAGAAAGATAACATCAATCACGCTGCTTTTAGGATTGATCTGTTATGAATAGAGCACATTTTTCTAATTTCTGCTTTTGGAAAGTGCAGTTTAATACTAATCCCTTCGAGTCACACTCTGCCATAAAGAAAAAATGTTTGTTCATCTGTATGAAATATTCACCTTTGAAGAATTGCAGTAAGCAAATTATTGGCTTAATCGCATGATGTTATATCCGGTTTTCTCTTCGTGAACATGATGTAATCAAGGAAAATCATTTATGCTCAGTTAGACATCGACCTTTTCATTCATTTCTCACTTCTGTGGATTTCTATTCTGAGATTTGACACAATTAAGATGCCTAATTGAGTCTGTACATCAGAAAACTGCTGACATATCACCGGAACAAAAAAATAAAATTAGTTTTGAGTTGCTGGAAAATGATTTTCCGTATTCAACACAGTCGATAACCCAGAAGATTTTCTGTTTTTGTCCCGAGGTACTTCCGAGACTTTCAGAAAAATTTTGAAACAAAATGGCACAAAAAGATTTCTATGGGAATATAATATTAGTTTGAAAATTTTTCCTACAGTGTCCGACGCACCTCGGGCCAAAAATAGAAAAACTTCGGAGTTATCGAGTGTGATGACCAAGAAAAACCACTTTTGAGTGACTCAAAACGAATTTTATTTTTTTTCCGGTGATATGGACTAGTGTGCATTCTCAAAGAAAAAACACTGCCTTTTGATACCTGATTTTTCTGCAAAAGAAGATACATTGTAGAACGTTGTACAGATGCTCTTCATCCATTAACCGTAGATAAATAACCAAAACATTCTTTTTCTTCACACACGCATAACTATAGTCACATTTTCAGCATTTCATGTGGAAAACCGCTGATACTTTGTTATATTGAATATTAATAGTTTCGTTTGAATGATTCTTTTTAATTCGTTTTAAACGATAGTAAATCAAACAATATATATTGGTTTTTTCAAATCTGTTCGTTATATCTGCATGAGTGGAAATTGAGTAAAAGCGTATGCTAAAAAAGAAAGTTAAAAGGATATTTTTTCACAACATTCTAACTAATGATTATGTGTAACATACGATATAGAACACATGAAAAAACATCGGAAGAAGGTGATAAAGAATCACTTAACAATTTACAGTAATGATCCATTCTATTAGGACTTAGTTTCTATACAAGTAATTAACAACTGTTAACAATCAGAAGACTACATAGCACTAATTCATTGCAGCTATCGTTTTGTGTATCAACAATGTCAGACAAGGTCGGTACGGTCAAAAATGCTACACGAATGATAAAGAAACTTACATACCACTAATTAATATCTTTAATCAGGCTACATTTTAAAACATCATAAATAGAGCTAAAGTTGAGTGCCACGGTTTCTTATATAATGGTCAAGTTTCTTCAAATCATGACATTACTACTGAATAGGACTAGTGTCGAAAAAATTGTACAGCACTAATTCATTGCAGCTATCGTTTTGTGTATCAACAAGGTCGGTACGGTCAAAAATGCTACACGAATGATAAAGAAACTTACATACAAGAAATTCAGACGTTGGTTGTTAGTAACAGACAAATTAAATGTCAAGCAAATGTCTTTTATCGTTATCTAGAAAAATTAATTAATTGGAAAAAGCTAACATTGTTAAACCCAAATGAAAGCGAATTATGCTTGTATACAGAAAAATTAAGGAAAATGAAACATTTAGAAGAATTCATTGTTACTTCTACTTTAATCACTTCTATGCTTGATATTGAGGGAGATTTGATAATCAAGAATATTTTAAGTGATAATCATTCATTAACTACAATCTGCACATATGATGGATTTAGCACAAATGTACAATTTTGACACCCGTAAAACTTCGGCTTTCGGGAGGGTCTCTGGAAATGTTGGAACTCAAAACCCGCTTGGAACCAAATTTTTCTTCCATTTGTAGAAACTAAATATGAGATTTTATAGTCATTTTGTTGTTAGTGAAAGGATGAATCTGTGGAAAATTCACTGACGAAAGGCTGAAACGGTTTGTGAATATCAGGGACATACAGAGCCACTACAGAAAACATTTGAGCCTTTAACTCCTTGTTTCAAAAAAGTTACGAAATTTTTAATTTTCCCGTGTTTCAGTGGGAAAAGTCAGAAAGATGTCTTTAGCTTTTGAACAAAGAGCCGTGGGCACGAACGGTTTTAGAGTTTTCTTATTCTCGGCATGGTCTACCTATGGCCAAAATATGGGGCTGAAAGCGCCGAATCAGTTCCCTCGTCAGCTGAAACAAACAAAGTTTGTTTATTCTCTATATCTTTTTAGATATTGATTTACAATCTAGTATTCAACAACAAATTTCAAAATTATGTGACCTGGAAATATGTTACAACATTAATAATTTTGATTTTCTTTATTGGTTACTAATAAAAGCACCACATTTAAATGAATTATGGATGTCAACGGACAGTATTTTCAAATTTGAAAACGATCATACACTACATCCGTTATGGCCGCTACTAAATCGTAAAATTAAACATTTACACGTTGTACGAGCAGATTCAGATAGTGTAACAACTTTGCGTCTTTTGGCTCGTTTATCAAATTTATTTTCGCAATTAAAATATTTCGATCTTAAATTACGAGATCCATCACTAACATTGCTTCCAGAAGTCATTAGTGCAATTTTAACAAACTCAAATTACAAACAACTTGTTTGTCTCTCAATCAAAAGTAACCAATGTGCAAAAATTCAAGGTTTAAAACATCATTATAAACAAATTGTAATGGAAATGACAAAATTAAGTGAAATAGAGTTTACTCTAAAAATGCACCAGAAACGTCTAACGATTTGAAAGAACTAGAAGACAGAACTATTGATTTGCATTGAGAAGGAACTTTATGAGAAAACTGTGTGGCTTTTTCTTTTTTACATAAAACACCATGTATTTTCTGCATTTTTTTCCCATTCTTTTTGACTAAATTATATATTTAAGCCGACTTGGTGAAACGATAAGACGAGGTTTATTGCTTTTAGCCAGGAACCATATATTCGTTCTTCTTTCTTAACACTTTTCGCATCACTCCTCTCCTTCAGCTCGTAAAAGGTATTTTTTGATTATTCAGTAAAAAATTTCATTTAACATCGGGGAAACGGTTGCAAGTAAAATATGTTTACTTTACAGCAGATACTGTTCACCGATAATAAAACGAGAAAAGTAATTTCGAAGAGAACACTGCAGGAACTATTCGTAATTTTACTATAGTTTAACGATTACGAATAGTTCGTATGGTAACTTAAAAAGCATAGAAACTAGAGAAACTACAGGAACTATGCCTAATTTCAAGACCATAAGAACTATGGGAACTATTGGTAATTGCAAAACGATAGGAACTGCAGGAACTATTCGTAATTTTACTATAGTTTAACGATTACGAATAGTTCGTATAGTTCCTATATTTCCCATGGTGAAATGATAAATTTAATAAAACAAAAAAGAATGGACTTGGATCTTTTTTGAAAATCATTTGATAAAAAGTAGCTAAAAAGCTTCGGCCTTCGGCACGCGGAAGAAGAGAGTTGCTGACGTGTTTTCACAAACATAAACTTTTCCGAAAGTGTTTTGTGAAACAGGTTTTGTAGGAGATCCTTGGAAAAGCAGGCCGTGTGTAAAACATTTTCAATAGGTTTGTATTGATTTCCTTCCACGCAGTGATAGAAGAAGGTATCCCCTTCAAAGTGATAGTCAAGCGATACGTTTTTCTTCCCCGCCTCGGATGTTGTGCCTGATTTCCTGCGAGTGCCAGGACTGGCGCCAGGTGACTATTAGTGGCCTTGAAAACGGATGGACTATAGGTAATCGATCATGCTGAGCATTGTGGCAATATTTGTTTTTAGCAAAATTCTAAAAGTCTAGGAACTTTTCGTAATTGCAAAATCATAGGAACTACAGGAACTAGTCGTAACTATAAAACTATGGGAACTATGAGAACTATTCGTTACTTCGAGGCACAGAAAGAATACAGGGAACTATTTGTAATTTCAAAAGTATGCGGGAACTATTCATAATGAGAGGATTTTTTAGTTGAAAGATTTGCCTACAGCGTTACATTAAGAAGCAGTAGATTCGCAAGAGCTGGGTCTTTGAGGTTTCCGAGCATGCTGAACCTAATGGCATTATCAGTTTTCTCGGTCCCCATGCTTCATAATGAGATTCCAGAAAATCGATTTTTCAGCGATGCGGTTTTACGGGACACTTTTTTCTCAGAACAGTCTTAGACATCGAAGTCAAACAACCATGTAGGTCTTGTAGAGCGTACTTTTTTTATCTAGAAATTATTCTGGAAAAATTTTGTGTTATCGCAGGCCGCTTCTGCAAACGAGTTTTTACGGAAAACCCGCGGTTTCTGGAAAACCTTTCACAGAGACCAAGCGCTCTACGACAAAACTTTGGCTTTTTCTGCACTCGTATCTAAAAAGCACGGCTTACAAACGTATAAGGTCGCCAATAAATGCCGCCTAATTTTAGGGTTTTCCAGAGGTATTCTAGAAAACCTTTACGGATTTTATATTTTAGAGACTGTTTTCTACAATATTTATTGAAGTATTTTAGCGGACTAATGTCAATCAAATACTATTGAGTATTTTCATACCTGTAAAACTTATTTTAAAGGATTTTTAGGGGATTTTGAGCTATTAAAGCTATAAAACCTACATATTTTTATATTTCCATTCAACATTTATGTGTACTAGATATTTAAGAAAAATTTTCTAGCAAGGTCATGTATGTACTTTTCAGATTCGGTCTTCTGGCCGTGCTTAGAAAGGTTTTTGAAAACATTTTTGTGAAAACATGTCAGCAACTCTGTTCTTCCGCGTGCCGAAGGCCGAAGCTTTTTAGCTACTTTCTATCTAATGGTTTTTTAAAAAAGATCCAAGTCCATTCTTTTTTGTTTTATTAAATTTATCATTTAACCATGGGAAATATAAGAACTATACGAACTATTCGTAATCGTTAAACTATAGTAAAATTACGAATAGTTCCTGCAGTTCCTATCGTTTTGCAATTACCAATTGTTCCTATAGTTCCTATGGTCTTGAAATTAGGCATAGTTCGTATAGTTCCTGTAGTTTCTCTAATTTCTATGCTTTTTAAGTTACGAATAGTTGCTTTAAACTTTAGTTATTTAAGTGAGTTCAACCGTATAAAAATACATTGTAGCTGTCACTAGAAATAAAGAAAATAGAGGAAACAAAAAAGAGAAAAAAAACGAAATACAGAAAGAAAGAGAAAGAAGAAAAAGATATCGATATAACAAAAATAAAAACAAAAAATTGGTAAAATCTAAGCGTTTCTTTTAAATAAGATGTTACGACAGTGTAAGTGTGTGCTGTAGTGTGTATACGCGTGTCGGAGGGAAATATGTCGAACAAGGAGGGATTTGGATCAAGTTTAAGCTCAGTTAGCATTTTTTGTCTGGCAACATGGTAATGATCACAATCATGATCGAATCAGCATGATCGATTACGTATAGTCCATCCGTTTTCTAGGCTACCAATAGTCACGTGGTACTGGTCCTGGGACTCGCAGGAAATCTGGCACAACATCGGAGCCGCGGAAGGTCAAGGTGTCGTGGATGTTTTTGGGTGTTCATTGAAAATGTATGCTTAAACAGCGAAATTATAAAAGCTGTTTTCCGTGTTCATTAGGCCTTGCTATACTCACCTCGACGAGGTCTATCGACTGGCTAACTCAGATTTTAATTTGGGAGGGTTCGTGGGTGTTCGTATCTCTTAGTGATACCCTTTTGGTTCTATTTACTTATTTAAGTAGTTGCTTCTTTGTTATTTTCTTTGTTAAAATATAGCTTATAACAAACAGATGCTCCATGGAGTGAGACAGGTCGAAAGTCCATGGAATGATCCAACGGTACTCTTCCGTCTGTCAATTGTTCTGTTTCTTGCCATTCACAACCTCTCGAGTTCGATAAGAGAACCGCAGTCAAACGGTACAAAACAGAAATAGCCGCGTCACCTTTCTTCCCATAAACAAGAAACGAGTGGAATACTTTGTCATCTCTCTGAGGACACATCGAAAATAAGAACTTGTAAAAAGAGATCATTTATGCCTTTTTTAATTGTTGTCGCTCTTTTATTTTTGTTATTGTTCCTTTCTTTAATTGTTTTTCCCTCTCGCTTTTTCTTCGGATAAGTGTTCTCTTCGAAATGACTTTTCTCGTTTTATTATCGGTGAACAGTATCTGCTGTAAAGTAAACATATTTTACTTGCAACCGTTTCCCCGATGTTAAATGAAATTTTTTACTGAATAATCAAAAAATACCTTTTACGAGCTGAAGGAGAGGAGTGATGCGAAAAGTGTTAAGAAAGAAGAACGAATATATGGTTCCTGGCTAAAAGCAATAAACCTCGTCTTATCGTTTCACCAAGTCGGCTTAAATATATAATTTAGTCAAAAAGAATGGGAAAAAAATGCAGAAAATACATGGTGTTTTATGTAAAGAAGAAAAAGCCACACAGTTTTCTCATAAAGTTCCTTCTCAATGCAAATCAATAGTTCTGTCTTCTAGTTCTTCCAAATCGTTAGACGTTTCTGATGTAATCAAGTCGGAACGATTTTTCTGAATGCCCCAACATCGATTATTAATCGATGCATCCCTATTGTCACAGAAACATAGCAAAAAAATTGTGATTAATCAGAATTTTGCGTCAAAATCGGGATAAATCGGCAAAAGTTAGGCGATTTTGACGCCATGAGAACTATTTAAGTGTACAGACAAAAAATGAAATCAAGATTGATCAAAAACCTTGCTTTCACATCAGGTTGTCTTTCTTATACCCTTTAATGAAAAATACTCTTTTGTACGTCATAGATAAACTCTAACGTATATATGCCACACGATCAGTCTCTGCACTTCATATTTCTTGATGCTTAATACATTTTATTCAAAACAAAATATGTGATATAAAACAGTGTAATAAGTTTTTCTTTTTCATTAAAAATGTTCGTTAATATATGTCTCGTTTGTCGCGGCGAGTCATAGTGTTTGACTGTATCTCAATATATGTTTCAACAGCGTCCAATATAGTAATCCAAAGAACTGAGATCAGAACTTTTTGACGTTAGAGTACTAGAAAGTGATCTGACACCATAGAGAAACTAATTTATTTTTAATGTAAAATGAAGAACTCATTTGACTGTTTTGATCAAATGTATTAAGCATGTATGAATATGATACTCAAAAGCATGCCTCATCTGGTACTTAAAATATGGATGTTTTTCAAAATATTGATTTTATCGGTTTATATTTTTTATTTTTTGACTGGGAGAGTAGCGGCGGCCGATATAACAATAAAACTTTGTAAAGCAAACACTCCTGTATTAAATTAAGTTTTATGATCGTAAATCTGAACAGAAATAAAGCTATATTTTTATCGATTTTATAGGCGATCAAATTGGTCATATCAATGTAAATGTTGGCTTATGTTATGAATCAAAAGCTGAGTACAGTATGGCATTAGAATACTATAATAAATGTCTTAATTTCTTTACGAAACAATCCGATATTGCTTATGTTCATGAATTGATCGGATGAGTATATGGTGACATGATAAATATAATGTTGCAGTTGAATGCTATTTAAAAGCAATATCCATACGAGAAACACTTGAATCGTGTGATAAACTAGCAATTGCAAATGATTATAATTGTATTGGTTGGTACTATGGTTTACATAAAGAATATGACTTAGGCATTGAATATTGTACGAAATCAACGGATATTTTTGAAAAATTTTCTTTAACAGATGAACAAGAAAGATCTTATAGTAGTGTTCTCAATAGTTTAGGTGTAATTTATGATGGTATTGGTAATTTTGAAAAAGCATTCGATTATTGTCAAAAATCGATGAAAATATTAGAAAAATTATCCTCTAATGATGACAGTGCTAATACGTATAATTATGAAATATTTGCTAATATACATTTGTATAATGGTGAACAAAAACTGGCGGTAGAATTTTATAAAAAATCATTGAATTTATTTAAAATTACACGTTCACATGATAGTTTAAGTAGAGAACGAGTAGAAAAGAAATTAGTAAATATTAATTCAGAACAAACAAATTTGAAAATATAAAACTAATTGGATATCGTATTCAAATACTACAACAAACCTGCACATGTCACGACAACAAGAAGATCAACCGAAAGAGGATTACACAAGGATGAAAAAGTGATTGAAAAATGTGGTGAGTTGCGAACCACAGTTTTAACTCGTATTCGTGACATCAATACAGAACGAATGTTTAATCTATATCTAAAGTAAACGTAAATACTCGCCTATATATATTACAACCAATGAAAGAACTTTACGAGAAAACACACATTTGCTTAGCATGGATGTCATCAAAATCAAGCCCGTGAAGTGCGGCTATTGAATTGGACGCAAGAAGACATCTCCAGACATCAATAAAAATATGCATCAAAAGGTAAAGTAGCGTTTCGCCAATTCAACTTTCGCCAATAGACATTCGCCATACTGGCGACTGGCGAATGTCCACACGACATTCGCCAGTACCCCTACGACATTCGCCAATTATGGTGAATGTCCACACGACATTCGCCAATTATGGCGAATGTCTCGGCGACAGTCGCCAGTACCTGTCCTCAGTATATGTGTGTGTGAGAGTGTGAGTGAGAGTGAGAGTGAGAGTGTCCGCACGACATTCGCCAATTATGGTGAATGTCCCCTCGACATTCGCCAATTATGGTGAATGTCCCCTTGACATTCGCCAATTGGTCGATTGGCGAATGTCTCATTGACATTCGCCAACTTTTTTGGACATTC